GGAGTGTGCGAACCCCTTGCCATAGTCGTCGCTGGTCAATCGGTTAGGGTACGGCGAGTAAACATAAAGTTGCATACAAATTGTTGCCTCGTCTCTTGGCCACTTGGTGGAGCCAAGTCGAGGCCTTCGTCTTTGTGTCCGTCTTCAGCAAACACATTTTAGCCTTTTGAGCGCGCCTTGACGACAGATTTAGACGTTAAGCAGCCGCGTTAAGTGTCCCCTGGGAAACGCGGCTAAGCATGCTCCGTGTTGACAAAACGACTCCACGTCTGGATGTTGTGGCTCATGTTGTTGCCTCTTGCTCCCCAGTTGCTGTTGCTGTAGCCGTTGCTGTTGCTGTTGCTATTGCAGTTGTTGCTACTGCCATGTTGTTCAAGTGCTGTCGTTGCTGTGGCAATTTGTATGGCCATAGATGCAATCGCGGTACCAAATTTTAACACCATTACCTGACCACAGTTTTCAGCTTTTAGTTCTCCGTTTCTTAGGCTTTTAGCAGCTCTCGAGTCGCGCTTGTTTGTCTCACTTTGCTGCATATTTTCGCGCCTAATTTGCGGCGGATCGGGATCTTGCGGCCCCACCCTGAAGCCCCGTTCGAGCCAAACGCAGCTGCACCGAATTGTGGGTGCCGGCCTAGCGGAGTGGAGTGGCTGGAGTCACAGCCCCGATCTGTATAGGGAACGGAGTCTGTGTGTGTGTGTGCACAGCTGCTCGGTGGGGCAAACGGCGTGGAGTGGCAGGCCACAACCGCAAAACGCTTGAGCTTTGAATTGAGCGGAAAGATGATTGATTGATTGATTGCAGCCAAAACGTCCCTAGACTGCAGTTTCTCCTGCCTCGGCCGCCTGTGGTCAGCGAAATTTGATCCCCATCTGAACATCAGCGCATCAGCTGAGGGGCAGCAGTCGGTAGCAACAGCGATGGTAGCGATGGCACAAGTGACAAAACAGCAACAAAATGTAATAATTGATAGCGACAGTGTGGACAGTGGCTATAGCTGTGGCTGTGGCTGTGGCTGATGGTCCAGGTCCGACTCTGAGCAGCCCCCTTCCGTTGGATTAAGCACAAATTGTGTTTATGTTCCACACATAGAAATTGTGACAAGTTAATATACGAGAAGCAACAAATCCGATTATAGGCATGACTTGATTTCATTTGCATCTGGCCTCCTGTCCGCAAATTGTTGCAGCCACAGAGCACCTCCCATCGCCCGTCTTCCGACCCCTGTGTCTGTGTCTGTGTCTGCGTCTGCGCCAGGCCTTGGCCTGTCCTGTCCCGTACCGTACCGTCCCGCCGGCTCCTAATTGCATCCCCTGAACATAAAAATTAATTATAAATTCCATATTTGGCGGCGGAGAATGTCGCGAGTGTTGCTTATTTTATTGTTATGGTCAACCAGTTCTGCCACTCACTGCAGCTGGGGCACTGTTGTTCCAGCTAGGAGCCAGGCTGCCCCCAAAAACCCAGACAAAAGACTGAGACGGAGACGGAGACTGGGACTGAGACTGAGACTACGACTAAGGCTGAAAAGCACAGCTTTTCAATTTAATTTAAATGGGTTTATAATTTATTTGATGCCTGCTCCGATCACACAGGGACCACACAGCACCACTATATCGCGTAGAGTATAACAAATTATCTCGTGGCCAATTTAAAATGTTTAATTCAACATAAAAATCAACCAGCAGAGTGGGAAGACTCCACTAAAGAGCCACACAACACATTATGTGGAGAAACAGAAAAAGAAACTAAATCCAAATGAGACACGAAACGCGATAAATTTGTACAATAAAAAACAAAACTGATTTCCGTCTAATGCGATTGACACCTAAAAACACACACACAAAATGGAGGGAGGGGAAACCAAAACCCTATACGACCTATAGTTTATACCCTATACATACTTCTGCGCCTATTCTTAGCATCTTTGTTTCGCTTCATTCCCAATTCCCTTTCCCATTCCAGTTCCTGTGAAGTCAACCAAGTCAAACAAAGCCAATCACAAAGAACAACAGAAACAAACAACCGAAATAAACTGAAATACAAGATACATAAATAATGTTATTAACATAGACACACCACCATCGCCATACCTACTGGCAGTGTGACTCTGGCGCTGACTCGGGCTCGGGATCGGGGCTCGGACTCCGACTCTGACTGGGAGTCAGGCCGGGGGCCGTGCCAGGTCAGGTTGATTAGCTCATCACTTGGACCACTGAAAAAGACACTTCCAGCTGACACTGATTGGTCGCTGTGGTCCACAACTTGACAACGAGTAGTCGACGCAGAGAGAGAGAGGCAGTGAGAACTTTACTTTTGATGCTATCGACTGCTTTGATACCCGTCATTTTTATTAATCATTTATTCAGGGTGGGACTGGTTTTTACTTTCGCAAAAACTTTTCGATTTACAAATTGACGCAAAGATCGCCAAAGATGGCGCATTTCCTCGTTGAAATGAAAAGTATGCGGTTTTTGATACAACAAAACGAAACAAATTGATGACTTACATACTGCAATGACTGAAGTAATTCCAACATTTGCCAGGGCTTTTTGACTTTTTGTAAATTACTTTTTGTTGCCGCCACACAAAAATTTGTTTACACTTTCATGCTAACAGCTGACGCCGGCCGATTCGGTTATCGATACATCGGATTTTACTCATAACATAGAATTTTGTACGCAATTCAAATTGTGCGCTTAACAGCACAAAGCTGTGCGTTTGCGAAAACGGGAGCACCTAGAAACAAAAACAAAACGTTTTGGCTGACAATGCACAACACAAAGTGAGTGAAAGTCCAAGCCTGCCTGATTGTTTCGCTAATTCCAATATTTTGTAGATACAAATGAAACGAGCATGCCCCACAAGCGATTAGTAGTACTGGGTATGCGAGCCGAAATAAATATAAATTCGTATAGGCCTTATAGAGTGGGATGACTGTCGGAGTGTCTATTTAGAGACAGACTGTCATTATTTATGGAATTAAAATGTCCAAACTCCAATACGCGTTTGGGATGTTCCGATGTACAACTCTGATCAAAGAATATCTTTGCATAAAACCGTCATCCCTCACGATTAATTACATATGTTGGGAAATACATATAGTATGTACATAATTCGATTAGGAATTCAAATGGATTCGGCCAAGTTATAAACTTAATTCTGATGGGAAGCATCCATCTGCTGCAAGTGTCCTTTTGGGAACAGAGTTCACGCTCACAAGCTCTCAGGCTCTGTCTCCGGAACAGCAACCGCAGCAGCGACAGCAACAGCAACGGCAACGGCAATGAGCCTGGTCAAGTTGCAACAATTAGCCGACTGATTTATCTATGTGGAGCACAGCCCGACAACGAATGCCATGCCTCGATCGCATGGCAGTAGTACGGAGCGGAGCTGCTGCCGCGCTCCGTTTCAATTTGATTTGATTTGATGTGAGCGCCTACGAACGAATGTTCGCTGCCCGCTGGCTGCTGTATTCTGGCCGGCCGGCCGTGTTTCTTTTCGTGTTGCAAGCATCAGAGTCGAGTCGACAGCGGGCGCATTTGCTGCTGTGGCAAACGCATAATCGTAAAATTTGCAGTGGAATGTTGCAATATTTTTCGCGAGTCGCGAGCAATTTGCGCGTGAATTATTCCAAACGTTGCATTACAAATGTTTTCAGCAGCAACCAGCAGCGACAACGTCTTTACGTCTTTAATTGGCTTGCAACGAGGAAGTCATCGGCCAGGCCAGGCCAACACTCCTTATGCTCCTCCGCATCGCTATCCACATCCCATTCCCTCTGACTATGTTGGACCCGCTCCACAGTTCCCCTACATAGGCGTACGTGATGTGGACAAAAGTTCTGTTTTCGGCTGTAAAGTCATATTCAACCTTTTCCATGAATGTCACACTTGAGTTGCGGCGGAACTGAAGATGGGTGCCATGGGCCTGGTCTTTTCGGGGCTCGGGGGCTACACTTTGCCGGGTGTGGGCTACGGCTCTATTAACTAGTCGAGTAGCCGAGTCGAGGGAAACGTTCTTGCAGGCTTCCATTTAATTTCCATGGCCAATGGCATTTGGCCGTTGAATTTGCTTAAGCTGCCATTGTTGCCCCTGGGCTGCTGGACAACCAAAGTCTGAAGCCTGAAGTTTTCATGGTCGTCGTCGTTGCCTGGTTGTCGTCTGCGTCGTTGCAGCCATGTAGGTAATTCCTGGAAGTTAATTTCATTAAGAGCAACTAGCAATGCGCGGCGTATTTATTAGCCACACGATATATTGTATGGACCAGGCTTTGTTTTTCAAGGAATCTGCCGCCTGCTGCCTGCCGCTTGCTGGCGGTCTGGCCAACTGGCTGTTCCATGCATTTGTGGAATTCATCATCGGCGGCGACAGGCGGCTGCAACAGCAACCACAACTGCAACTGGCAGCTCTTCTCTGGCATTTCCCCTGAGCTGCTGCTGTTGCAATTTTCATAACTTATTGCTGGCATGCATGGAACAGAGACCAGACCCACCCGGATCCGGTCCCGCTCGCCGCCTCTAAATATGGCACGAAATTTCCTTAAGAAAATGAAGAAATACGCGCAAGTGCGATTTCCAGTTAATAGCATTCAACGGCCAACCCCAACCCCAACCTCAGCCCCAAGACGGTCGGGTTTGCCCTGTCCCCCTCCCGGTATTGGGTTAGATTTAAAAATAACGCACATTCACAGCAAACTTGTAAAATTCTTATTAATTCTTATCGTAAAACAAAGATTTCTACTCGTCGCCGGACACCAAAAGCAGCAGCAGCTGGAGAGGAAGAGGACGGATGGTCTAAAGGGGCCGCATGGGCAGGGATCTTGTCATTGCGCCTTCATTTGGTCACAGTCATGCCGACAAGTGTTGTACACGCATTCCGAATACTTTTCCATCATTAGTCGATCGTCTCATCGTTGTCGCTGATGTCCGCTCCGATGTGATCTGCTCTGGGCAAACACCTGCCAAGTGCAGTGGATCGAATGCCATTTGAAAATACTCAAGTTGAAGCAATTCCCCTTTAAGTGGGCTTTATTGGAACACGGATAACATAAAGTTTAGTTCTAGACAATCTCCAAACATAATTCAATTGAAACATAGTTAATACAGCGCCCGCGGATATTGACGGGAATCTTCACAAACAATTTAAACGTCAAAACAAACTTCGCTTTTTAGAATAAGATTCAGGAACGGCGCTGACTCTAGTGAAACAGGAAATAGACGCCAATCAACAATATAACTACGAACAATATAAACATTTTAGACTTAAGATTATAGGCTTCGTTCAAGCTATTGAGCCAGCCACGAAAGGCCACAGAGACACTGGTCTCGTCCGGTCGCAGGGAGCGGCGTGCCTGGGGCTCATAGCCCATGGAATTGGAGCTGGCTATGGTACGCCTGTACTGACTGTTGCGGTCCCCGATCTTTTCGGACCGCAGGCGGGCCAAATTGCGAGCAAAGGTGCTCTCGTACTGGGAATCTTCCGCCTCGTTTTCGTCGCTCAGCTCGTTGGCAAATGGTTGACGTGGTGGGGAACGACGGTAGCTCGAAGTGTAGGCCAGAGATGGTGCCGGTGCCTCTGCAGTGACATAGCTCTGGGCTGGCGAGCGCACATAGCTGCTGTAGCGCCCGGTGGGGTTGTTGAGGTAGTCGTATGAAGAGCTGCTTGTCTGTGTACGAAAGGCGGTGCTGGTCGGAGCACCTGATTCATATGCCTGTCGGCGGGGTGGGTCCGCGGCCTTGCTAGTGGAGACCAGTGGAGCCATCGATAAAGCTGTCTTGCCACTATACTCGAATGTATTGGTCGTAGTAGTCGTCAGCTTCGATCTGGGTTTTGGTTTTTCCTTAGCCTTGTACTGTAGCTCGACAAGGTCAGCAGCACGTGCCAACTGCTCGTCCTCCTCTTCGTCGGACTCCAGGACGATCGTCGAGTTGACCTCCAAAGTGTTCTCATGGTAGTCGGTGCGCTTAGGCACAGCAGCCTCCTCGATGATAGACTCTGGCTTCTTGACTGGACGCTCCGATACCACCTCCCGCTTTTCTGAGGAAGTGGAGATGCGACGCGTCTGTGTGGGAGCCGCAACTACTGGTTTCTTCACCACCTGCTCGTCAGGGCGACGACGGTCAGCGGCTTTGGCGTCGTTAGCTGTGGACGCAATTGTGCGGCGTGATTTGGTGGATCCAGGGCCCGGCTTCGTTCCATCTGGTTTGTCCACCGGAGTGGAAGCAGAAGCTGGAGCTGCAACCGGCGCCAGGGTCTCTCGCTTGTTGGTTTTCTTGGGACTGGCAGTGACTGCCGGCGACGCCTGGCCACCAATGGAGGCGCGCAGACGCTTGACCAAAACTTTGCGGCTGCTGCTTGTAACTGGAATATTCGGTAGTCCCTGGGCAATCATCTTTGCCCGCAATTCGGCATCGGATATAGTATCAAAATCGTCCACGTCGGCCATTGCTCCCAGTTTTTTACACAATTTTAGCAATTTGTTGAAATTGAAATCGGCGTCACTTTTACGCGGCGTGTGCTAAAATAGTGATGGGCCAGGCGCACTATCGATAGCTAAAAAGCGCAATTTTGCAGCACTGGACGTGATGAGAAGGGTCGATAGTCACTATCAAACAATCGATACGGTATTATCGATAGTACCATCAGAAACAGCGAAAAAAGGAAAAATATTTACCAATTCTGTATCCAATCCAACCTGCGTGCGTTCAAAAACAACTACGATATTTGCTCACACAACCGGTCAGACAACATAAAAGCGTACAAAGCAACAAAGCCTACTCACAGAACATTTATCATGGACTTCTCAAAGGCACCCAATCCACGAAAACTGCAACTCTGCCGTACATACTTCTATGGTAGGCTGTGTTTCGGGCGACTCATCTCTCTGAAAAGTAAAACTCAATGAATTCTCCTTCTGCTTTTAGCTGGATTTGCCCTTCTGCCCTTCGTGTGGGCCATCAATGTTTGCTGGTGCTTTGAGGAGGCATTCCGCAAACCCCCATTTCCGGAACAGAGCCAAATAAAACGATGTTGGTACCAATGAAGTTATCCAAATTCTAAACGATGTGATTTATAACGCCCCAATCCAATCTTTACAGTTGTCATATATTCCGCTGTGGGAACGCTTTTGTGGATAGTTGCGCTCATTGCTTGGATCATCATATTCCAGACCAATCGCACCGCCTGGGGAGCAACCGCCGACTACATGAGCTTTATGATTCCGCTTGGCAGTGCATGAGAAAATGTCCAAGAACTTTAGGCATAAGTAACTTATGAAATTATTTACGTATAAAAGACTTCTTAACCTCACGCATAAGCGCAACCATAAACGTCGTTAATTTTTTGGAAGACACAGCAGACGCGGAGAGATTAGCTGAAGCCGTAAAGTAGGGAAAGAGGATTAACTAGTACTACGCCATGGTTTAATTACATATTTTTTTATTCACATCTAAAGCTGTTTTTATAATTTCTGTATACTTTAAATATGTGTACTATATTTTCTTGAAATTTTCTTAGCCACTAGTTATGTATGTATTTTGTTCATAATTTGTAATATATTTGTATGAATGATTTGCTTTAGTTAGCTGTTTGTTGATTCCACCTCCGTTTTTGAGGTTGCTCACATACTCATCCAATTCCGCCGCACACCCTGCCATGGGGTGCGTTGCTTTTGGGGCTTCATTCGCTTAGATACAATTTCATTGTTTCGAATTCAATTCAATGTCATCTTGGTTTTCGTTTCACTTCTAAAATACATTTACTGTGCCGTATAAAACTACTTGTACCATTCGATAAGCAGTGATGTGATGGTAATGTTAGTTAATGCTCACTAAATTATTACGTTGCGTATGTGTATCCGTGAATTGATTCTGGTTAAGGATTGGATTGGGATTACAAATTGCACTGTGAATGTCAAACACCTAGAGACTTTAAAGTGGTTTTTTGAGATTTGTAAGGACAACAATAACAATTGCACAACTGATCTACACATGAAGACATTGATCAAATTTTAATATACGATAAATGGCTCTCGCGTATCTTTGTTTCTTTGTGGGGCTACATTTCGAAGTTACTTTACTGCTGTGCTGTGCTGTGCCGCAGTAGCGGCTGCAAATACATATTGCTATACATATGCTTTAATGTTTATAACATAACATGCAGCAATGCAATAAATATCTCCTCTCCACTAGCCATCAAATCATTCATTTTTGAACTAATTTACAATACAATACAGTACAATACAAAAGACTCGCAGTAAGGTATATTTACAATCAATACTTGGTTTTTATTTGTAAATTCTATAGAAGAATTGCTGTTTGGGAAAACGGATTCTTTTTGGGTGGTGGGTTTGGGGTTGGGTTAGTTTAGGTTTGGTTTTTGTCTGGGAGCTTAGGCTAAAGAACATTAAGTGCCATAAATCACGCGCGTAGAGACTATGAAGCGGCTGACGAACTACTACACGCCGACGTTCGCATAGATAAATGCATATGCAATTACACATATGTACATATGTCGCTATTATCATATCATATATGCCGATGCATATGCATAAATATATGTATATTTAAAGTACAAATTGATGCTTAGAAACAATTTAAATCAGTGTGACGGCTGCTGCTGCTGTTGCGTTTGCTGCTGGCCAAAAATGTCGAATCATTTTCATTCATAGAGAACTTATAGCAAGAAACTACAGACACGAGTAGTACACACATACACATACACATACAATAGATATAGATACAGATACACATATATATATATATATATATTTAGTATATATAATGAATGAATGGGCGGCGCGCCCAATTTGTCTTTTAGATGCAAATCTCGCGCAGCCACCATCCGCAACACAGATAGGGATAATTAATACAAAACTCTAAATGCTAAAATTGTACGGTCTACTAGCATAATTTAATCGTTAAACAATATTAATTCGTTTATGTTCCTTATCTCTGGTTAGTTTTCGTTAAATGGTTATTTTTTACAAAGAAATCAACACACTACATACAGTTTTGGGGTTTGTCTGTTTGTTTTTTTTTGTTTGTTTGCAGCATGTTCTTCTGTTCGTCTGTCTGTTTGTTCATATTCGATTACGCCTCTCTCGTATGATATACAGTAATATATATATAAATATAGATATCTATATGTATATGCAAATACACTTAGGAAAAAACTATAGTAGCTATAGTAGTAGTTATGCTATATATATTTATATATGTATAGGTTGTATGTGCTAATAGTAGTGATACCTTAGGATAGCTATAGTTAACCACGTTGAACGAAACATACAAAAAATACTTATGTATATAAATAGTCGATTCCTCATTAACTCGATTGTATGCATTCAGTATCCGAAGGACTGTTGAGACGCATAGAAGACCAGGACAGGATTCGACGGGAAGAAGTTGGCGGCGTGCCCAAGGATCTCGGGTGGGTCTTGGGTTCGGTTCGTGGGACAATCATTTTTATAAAAACAGCAAATGCATTCGCACATATAGATTCCCACTCAGTTTCCCATTCCGCTCCACGTTAGTTGTTCTTCACGTTATACACCTTCTTCTCGCTGCTCCCATTCATTGGTTCTCATTTCGACGGTCCCGGCGGAAACGGGTTTATCACAGCTACAGCAGCCGCCTGCTGGCTAGCCAAGACAGCCGCTATACACGAAAAAGACAGGGTAGCCGGCGATTAGATACCATTTCCGAATCAACAACAACACTACTCACCTCCATAGGGCGCCGGATACATGGGATAACCGAGTCCTACGTGCGTGTGGTGATGAGTGTGGACGTGCCTTTGGGGCGGCGGACTGCGGGAGTCAGCGGCACCTGCGCCACCTCCACCAGCAGGGCCATTCACAGCGGCTCCACCGACTCCTCCCACACCGCCGTTGCCGGGTGGTCCACTGGGTGGTGGGCCACCAGGCATCGTCTGTTTGTGCGCGTCTAGCGCTGAGCCAGGCGGCACTCCGTGCGGCTTCTGGCCGGCCAGGTCGGGCTTATTGCCGGGCGTCGAGCCCAATCCTCCTGATGGTGGCTGTAGGTTCAGCGGCACACCGCCCGCAGACCCAGGACCCGAACCGGGCTGGCTGGGCCCGTTGCCACCGAGGACATTGGGACCGGAGCCCGGACCGCTGTTTGATGGGCCACCCGACTGGGGTGGTCCGATGCTGGGACTGCTGACGCTCACCTTGACGGGGCCGCTGCCGCTGGTGGGCGACTTGAGGGCACGTTCGCTGAGCTCATGGATCTTGTGCGTAGTGTAGTACTGGCTGGCTGCATGATGCAGTGCATCCAGTGCCTTGGTGCCCGTATTGCGGGAGAGATCTTCTGGCGCATGATAGCGGGGTATTGGAAGATGGTACGGTGCCGTGTTGTACGGGCCAGCTGCCGACATCAGCACGTTGCGGTACATGGGATGGTTGGGATCGAAACCAAACGGATTCGGCGATATATACGAGGGGTGAAGGAAGTACTGCGACGTAGGCGGTGGCGGCGGTCCCTGTGTTTCCATTGTTGGCTTCTGACCCTCCTGCTTCACCTTCAGCTGCTGCTGCTGTTGCTCATCCTCGCCAGAGTTGTTCTTTTGCTTCGGCGAGTCCTTTGTCAGATTCGTGGCCTTGTTGTTTGCCACTGAAGACGCTTGAGCCTGCTTTAGCTTCTGTTGCTGCTGTTGTTGTTGCTGCTGCTGCTGTTGCTGCTGTTGTTGCTGTTGTTGTTGCTGTTGTTGCTGCTGTTGTTGTTGCTGTTGCTGAGCCTGCTGCTGAGCCTGCTGTTGCTGCTGCTGTTGCTGTGCCTGCTGCTGCGCCTGATGCTGCTGCTGATGATGATGTTGCTGCTGGAGATGCTGGTGATGCTGCTGGATCGCCTGCTGCTGGATCGCCTGCTGCTGATGCTGGGCCAGAGTCATATGCTGCTGTTGCTGCTGCTGCAGGCTGAGATTCGACTCATCCTTGTGCAGCATGCCGGGATGAGGCGGAAGCCCTCCAGGGCCCCCGCCACTGGCAGCATTCTGAGCGGCCGCAGCAGCAGCAGCAGCGGCTGCTGCCTGGTTTTGTCGACCAGTAAACATGTAATACCTGAGAAAAAGGCAGGACGAAATCAGTATGCAGGATGGCAAGGGAATGCAATGAATTTCTCTTACCGTCGCAGCTCCTCGTCGCGCGCCTGTTGTACCGCCGCCAAGCTCATCGAGTGACGCTGGTAGATGGCTGGATACGCGCCCAGGGCCTGTAGATCCTTGGGATGCAGGGCGTGAGGCTGCTGGGGCTGCGTGGGCTGGGACTGCTGCTGTGGTTGCGGGGCCTGGGCCTGAGATGGCGGCGGGTGTTGCTGGCCAGGATTGGAGTTCGGCTCCTGCTTGATCTCCTGCTTTGTCATCGGCTCCTGCTTGATCAGCTTGTTGGCCAGCAGCTGAAAGAACAAGATCGATTATTCTATGCTCATTTGGAAGCTTTGCCGCAAAGCGCACCTGTTGCTGGGGCGCCATATGCTTGGGGTTCTCGTGTGGACTGGGACTCTCCTTGAGCC